CAAATCTTTAGTTGTGAACTTAATTCAACTGAAGGAATTGATTGGTTGCATACAGTAACTAGAAAATTTAATGATTTTCACAACAAATTTCTGGATTTCGTTAAAATGCAGTTGCAATATTCAAAAAAGAGAGAGCTGAGTAAGTAGATTATTTCGTTATATTTCTTTGTTTATTTTTACTAATTCCTGAGAAAATGGCACACAACTCTCCCTTCAGAAAGTAAGATATCATGTTTGTTGATAAAACTTTAACAATAGATGTCTTGCAAAGATGGTTAAATAGGACGAATATTACAGAACAGAAAGTCTAAGACTCTTGGCATACTTTACAAAGATTAGTTTAAAGGGCATTTATCGTAAATTATGATTCAAGAGATACCAATACAACAAGATCTTTAGACAGAATAACAAGGAACATCGCGATTCTATCTCGAAATAGCAAAAATATCACTAGTAATTTACAATTGGTAATTAGCAGGTATTCTATCTATTATTTATATCAATAGATTATAACTTTAATTTAACAATGAATTTTATTTTTATTACATTAGGTATTTAGTGGTATTGTTTTATTACAAACAAAAGATTTCTATAATAGGACGATCATTTTTATATTGTGTTTCTATTAATTTTATTACAATGATTTTATATAGCAGTATTTTTTATTCAGACTAGAAAAATTTGATTTATAAATTTTTATAATATGATCATTTTTTATTGCAATAAAATTTATTAAAATCTATCTTACATAATCTAATTCTAAGTTTATTACAACATTTATTACATAAAACTTAAGAAATGAGTATATTCATCGTCAAACAATATTTAATACATTGAAAATAACGTCTTTAATTAATTTTTCAGTTAACTTTCGATGATATTTAAGTGACATTCACCACTCACATTAATAATATTTTACGACTTCAAAAAGTGCGATGCGTCATTGATAAATTCACGATTATGTTACATGATCGTTTAGTATTATATTATTACGTGTTAGTTACTAAATTGTCGTGATTCGTTAGCAATCACTTAACCGCATAATAATGAATTATGGGTTTCTGCAAAGTTGTTTGTGTTTGTTGCATAAATTCATGCTGCTTATCTATGTCATTAATTTTAAATTCAGCTATTACGTATGCTCGCTTAATTGTAGTGTTAATTAATTCTCTACATATGAATGAAATAAAAAAATAATTTAAAAAAAGAAGATAAATGGTATAAAAACTTCAGTTTAAATAGAATATGTTTGAACACTGTAGTACACGATCAAAATAAAAATGTAAATATAAAAATCTTGAAAATAATTTATATAGAAAAATTAGATATTGTTTGAATTCTAATGTTATTTTTTTTAATAAACTTTGTATAAAATTTTAATCAAGTATCTTACCAGAGACATTATAATTAATAGGGCTGCGCCTCGTATTAAAAATTGAATTATTAAAATTTAAAATTCAAATAAATTACAGAATTATTTAGTATGATCTGGATCATCCGCATTGAATCAGTTTAGGATTTAACAACTCAGATCATAAGTTATGGAAGACATTCATTGAATTTTTAATTTGTTACCATATCCATTTACTTAGCTCTCTCAATGATAAATGGTGAACCTCTGTACATTCAGACAATAATAACATTTTCATTACCTTTAGTAATAGAACTCCTTCGATAGCTTCTTAAATAAGAATGAAATGTTGAAGTTTAATATTTTAAATAAATTTTAATTAGTGATCAATAAAAAAGAATTCATTATAATCATATCATTCATAAACTTGACTTGAATCTAGTTTTTCTATCAATCATTCTTATATTATGATTCCATACGAACTGAAAAAAAAAGAAAGTTGCGTGTATATTGTGTTTAAAAACAAATTATACGTTAATAAAACAATTTTTTATTTTTTCTTTTCTCTTTTCTTATACAAGTAAATTTTTTCTCAGTTTTGACTAGAGGTTGGATCCATCTCATAATTTAACACCCGGGCATTGAAACCCATCGAAATTGAATGGTTTTAACATTTGCAAAATTGGATTTGGATTTTGCCTCGCAATTTACCTTATAAATGCAAATTATAATAAACTAAAAAACAAAAACAAACCACTTCACATCATGCTAGTATACAAAATAGTTTTATAAAAAACCCAAGTTTAGTGATCATAATTAAAGTTTACAATGAGCTTATTTTTGACACATTTCAAACTTAAAAGCGATTCTTCAGAGTAATAGACTAAAATTAGTCCTCAGAAGCATATTTTTGCTGCTATTAAATGGGCGGTATTCTATTGTAATCAAATTTAGGAATATATAATTATTTTATTTCTTTTATAAGAAAATAATATATATATCGATTGATTTTATTTCCACGTGAAAGTTTTGAAGATGTACCCATGTAAGAAAAAAAAGAAATTTGCAATAAATTTAATCTCACAAATTCAACATTTCAAACATATCAATATAAATAAGTCCATTTATCATTTCTTAGTGTTTAACTCCCTCTTGAGAATATCTATAGTATGTATGTCCATGTTTTCGGATAGGAAGACAGCTAACTGCAAGTAGTCTAGTCTTTTTCATAAGTGGTGATATTTTTTTTATATTAAACGGGTGGGGTAATTGTGGAAAATGTGTGGTATACTCAAATTATTTTATTGATTAGTAATAAATAAAAAATTTTATCATTATGAAGTAATTGTTGAAATTTCTTGTTTTAATGCATATAAATAACTAAGAGAATGATTGAATGAACGAGAACCGTTGTGCGTCCGAAACGTTAATTTACATCGCTTAAATATATAACAGAAAAAAGTCAATAAATAAATTTAATGTTAACACGGCATCACTGATCTTAACTTTTAATTTTGTGAAAGACAGACGGACATTGCATGGTTTTGACTGTAACAGAAGTGTCGTTCGCTACGCTTCGGACAATGAGTTATCAAAGATATCTTTCACATAACGCAATAATAAATCATATCGGCTGATTGTATTAGTAACCATTCAGCTATATAATGAACCCATCAGTTGAGCTTAAATATTAATTGCCCCCAATTTTCCAATCAACCGATATGTGTCTTTACTGTTCCTCAAGTAAAAAAAAATTGATTTCTTCTCCTCGAAGCGCCATGGCCTATACCTTTTTGTTGGCTTTTTTCTTTCGTAAGTAATTCTTCCGACTCTTTTGGTACATGTCAAAATACTTTTCTCAGTTTACTAAGTGAAAATATTTTCGTAAGACGAACCAAACCAGAAATATTTATTGCAAGTGGGATTTGAAATAATTAATTCTTCAATTGGAACTCAATCTATTTTTTCATGTACGATAAATGATACTGATGACGATAATGTATTATTATTTCATTTTATTTGTACGACAAAAAGTCTTTTATCAATTAAATTTTCTAAGTATCTATTGGACTTGACGTGAAATACAGAAATCTTTTGTTTTCGTGTATTACATTTAGTATGTTCAAAGAAAAATAACCCATTGTCAAAAATGAAGGCAAAGAAATGTAACTTGAAGGTAATTTTAAAAAAATTTTTTTACGAACAATCTTCATCTGTTGTATATTTGTGATTGTTAACACTTCACGCTTTACCATATGTTTCTTTTTTCACAGCGAATGTATCTGTATTACAACAAAATAAGTGGTTCTCCCGAGTAATAAATAATCCAAATGAGAGACCCGACTATTAATAGTATTCAGAATCCTAATCGATTTCCTATTTTAAATATGCTATCTTGAAATCTTGAATCAATTCGTGTTTAAGTGGCAGATAAAATAATCTTCATTTAATTGATATTGTAGAATTTTCATTTAATTTATATTTTATTATTATATTATAATTATTTATATTAGCATGCAGTTTATGTATTACAAATATTATATTATCATGCAGTTGTGTATTACAGTTATACTACAAGTAAACAAATATGCATCATAATCATTATATACTGTATATCCCAACGATAAATCGATATGAATTGTATAAACTAATTCTCTAAATTACAATAAAAGATATTAACGAAAATAATTTTTTAAAAACAATTAAAATAAAATACTCACATTTTTACACAAGATTTTTAATCTTAGAGTTATTTTTGGTAACCCGGGTTGATCTTCTAGTTGGTACAGTTTCTGGAAGTGAACCAAATTCCTCTTTAGCATTAGTTTTAGTAGCGCGACTTGGCTTTTTAGTTGGTACAGTTTTTGGAAGTGGACTAAATTCTTGCTCTTTAACAATATTTATAGTATCGCGATTTGATATTCTAGGCAGCTGCTTTTGACTTTTGCTTATATGAATTATAATTTCAAAAAATATGAATAAAATATTAAATTATTTGAACTTTTATGTAAAAAGAAGTAATCTTAACATTAATACTTTTGGTTTGTTTATCTTTATTTTTTAATTTTTCATCAAAAAATGAAAAAGCCAAATCTTGATTTTCTGATTCATCAGAAGATGAATCTTGACTTTCGTGCTCGTCAGAATCTTGATGTTCTGGTGAATCTTGACTTTCTTGTTCATCAGAATCTTGATATTCTGGTGAATCATGACTTTCTTGTTCATCAGAATCTTGATTTTCGTGCTCATCATCATCAATAGGAAGAATCAAATTTTGATTTTTTTGCATTTAAATAGAATTATCTTGGACTTAATTATTATTGTTAATATTATCATATTTTAATAAAACAATAAATAATAAATAATATTTCAAATACCTTTTTTATGAGTTCTTTTAATTTTTTTACGCCTTGTAATTTCGCCTAAAAAATTAAAATAGTAGTGATTAAAAAATAGAATTATTAAATTATTGTAAATTAAAATAAACATACGTTTATTATTCATAATTCTTCGAATCATTTCACGTGGTGCCCAATCACCTAATGTTGGAGGAAAAACTTGACCTCCTAAATAAATAAATTATTATTATATTATTGATTTAAAGTTTGATTATCAAATACTTACACGATAACTATTGTATTTTCCTCTTTCTATATTAAGTTCTTTTTGAATATTTAAGTATTTTTTTCTATTAGTTTTTGGTTTAGAAATAGGCTAGATTATTTAAAAAAAATTAATATATAATTTTGTATTTAAAAATTCTTATATCATATTTATCTTCATTTAAATTATAAGACTCTTCAGATAATATTTGTTTAGATTTTTCTTTTCTTTAGATATTATTAATTCATGATTAGAATTATCATCTGATAAAACAATAAGCTTTCGCTTATTTATTGGTTTAGTTTGTTCGTTCACTCCAACTTTACTATTTATTAAAAGTGTTTGAAGACGTGCATTTTCAGCTTCTAATTTTGCTATATGATTTACAATCAAGTTAATATTATGGTTATTATTATAACTTGTTGAAGCTTCGGATTCAGAATCTGTTAGTGCAGATGTTAAAGAATTTTTTGTCATTGTTTATATTTGTTACACTAAAATAAAGAAAATAGATTAACATAAATATTAAATGAATTAACCTTTTATAGCTAAAAAAAATCATACACGTGATTAGTGATCGATTAACAATAACTTATTTATTTATAGTTGATACCCATACCCTTTCTTTTAAAATCCCATCCCATCCCATCCCATCCCATCCCATCCCAATCCCAATCCCACCCAAATCCCATAATCCCAATCACAAATCCCAAATTCTAAATCCCAAATTCTAACGTTAGTATCATTTAAATTTATCATTTATAATACCTACAAATATTTGTAATTAATTAGTATCAAAATTAAATTTAGTTAATTAAATTTATATTATGAAATAAATAAAATAAACTTAATAAAGTTTCAATGTAAAAAAAAACAGAATCAAATCATCACGCAGCTGACTATGCCACCGTAACGAGCTGAAGGCGTTCGAAGTGCTGCATCCGAAAGGACGGAATCGTTCTGTATTTTATTTTTTTAATTAATTTATTTTTTTTAACATATTTTTTTTTTTATTGTCTCCCCTCCCCCTTTTTTAATTTCGTTTTTACCTTTTAATTTATTTAATTTTTTTTTTTTTTTTTTTATTTTTAAACTTATTCAACTATTAATTTAGTTTTTTTTTTGTAGTTTTTATATATACATTTTTTTTATGCATTCCCCCCCCCCGTTTATTTTTTTTTTTATTATTTTTAATTTCGTTTTATTTGGGATTGGGATTGGGGTTGGGATTTGGGATTTGGGATTGGGATTGGGATTGGGATTGGGATTGGGATTTGGGATTTGGGATTGGAATTGGGATTGGGATTTGGGATTTTTTTCGATTCTAACTCCCATAGGTTATAACTCAATGGGCATTGGATGTTGTCCCAAATCCCATAGTATGGGTAACAAGTATATTAACGAATAAATATCTCTAGGAATACTTTAATTTTTAAAGAAAAGTAAAATTCTTTTAAGACGTAAAAATAATTAAAATTACAATTTATAATTAATAAAAAAGTTCACTTTTAGATAAAATATTATAATTAACATTTTTTTTGAATTAAAACTGTCTAAATTAGGCAAACTTTGGCAGGCAGGTTATTTTGGTGTCAGAAAAATTAAAGAGTTCTCAATTTTCGATATCTTAAATCCTCTCGTTGTCATTTTTATAATTTTTGTTGGTTCCTGTAACATCTAAACTGTTGATAGCATCTATCAAATTCTTGGGCTTTGATTTTTCTTATTGCTCTCTAATTTTATTTTTAAGTTAATAATCGTTTCTTGCTGCTTTATCTCGTTTTCTACCATTTTCTTCTAAAACGTTAATGTTTCTTGCGGCTGCTTGGTTTTGATCCCTTCTTTTCGCTCTTTGGTTTTTTTTCAAAATATTTGAATTGAGAACTTGACCCATAATATTAATACGAAATTTTTATGGTATTAACACTTTATTGACTTACAATCAAACTAGTTCTCGCCATTTCTTGTTTTACTTGAATTTATATTTTTATTATTTTTCTTCACTTTTTACTTCTAACTGATACATTATATAGTCTTTACAATATGGAAAATGTTCACCATCCGATTATAATTAATTACTCATCGAATATTCGAAGACACGGGAACATATAAAACTATTTTGATTAAAATTTAAAAGGTGAACCTAAAAATACTAATGTGCGTGGCCTTAAATGGTCTAAATTCTTACAACTTATTTCATTCCACAAAGAGAGTTGCAATTGAATTCCAAATCATTGGCTGGCTTTCTTCTTTCTTTGCCCTGGTTTGTTTGTTGTAACCGCTTTTTACGAATAAATCTCTTTAAATTTCAGTCCTTTTATTTCTTTATTTAGCGAATAGCCTTTTCATTGGCATGTGTTAATACCTCGCTTAAAGAAAGGTCTAACTAATTATATCCACTTTCTCAACCTTAAAATTTTCAATGTTAAAATCAAAACGTCGTATTTTAAAATATACTGTATTCTTATTACAACATTTCTGTATAATTTATTGTTCATGTAAAGTTGTTTGAATCACAATGCACCTAAACAATAGCATTTCATCAATTTCTTTACATGAATTATACAGTGGCGGTCAAAAGTATTGCATCACCCGAACACAAATTTTAAAATTGCAATTTTTTGACAATTAAGGCGG